GTTTCACAAGCTTGTTCGCCATCTACAACGCCTCATCCAACACCAGACGACACACAGTTCCCCCGTGAGCGTTCCCCAAAGTCTGGCCGTGGCGCTGCGTGTTTTGGCTTCGGGTGCAAACCAACAGACCGTCGCACAGAGCTACAAACTAGCGTCCTGCACGGTGTCTGGCATAGAGTCCGAGGTGTGCCAGGCGATGTGGACGGCCATTAGGTACCAAACAGGAAATATGCAGAGTGGATGGAGAATTGACCAATCAGAGGCCTCCTTTGTCTTCTCCCTGCGACACTATAAGCTGATTTATACCCAGAAACCAGGTCGTCTTCTTATTTTAAATTGAAATTATCTTGTTCAATATCAATTCAAGAAAAAATTGCTTATTTAGATTTAAAGTTTTTGCACTGCAGCCCTTTACAGTTATCATATTAGGGGAACCTAAACAGTAATTTTATATCCAGGACTTCAGCCTGGTTCATATTGGTTTTTGGATTAGAAAACGTAAAGCCTAAAGTGACTGCTGTCTTTGTTACGAAGAGCTGCAGCGGAAGGTCAGACCAGCAGATGGAAAAACAACAGCAGCTGGTTCTGACCTGAAACTGTTTAAATGGAAATGACTTCATTACGGGAACAACGTACCGAGGCTCCGACCCAGACAACACTGAGCTCCAGCTCCACATTCAAATATTCAGCTGGTCCTTCAGCTGGTTCCCTTCTGACAATCAGGAAATTTGCCAATTCAAATACCCCTCAACTGCTTCTTCTACTCTCAACATCCCAGCATTTACACATTACAACCTTCCTTTTTATCACTGTTTATGACTTCAGGACATTGTACCAGAAATATCAGACATGAACACAAAGAACAACGTTTGTTCTTTCTCAGTTTATGACCTGAAGGGAGTTCTAACTGTATTTCACGTTCTGCAGCTGTGAAGGTGTGCAGATAAGCTTATGTGTGACTATCTGGTTCTGGTCTGAAGGTTTACGTAGCTGCACTCAGTGTTTAATCATTAAAATGGGAGAATTCGCTCTGCGCTTTATGCTGCAATAAAGAGGCCGCTTTCAAGTTAAGCATTTTAATATTTCAAACGGCAGCCTTAAAGGATGTCAGACAGAATACAAGTTTAGCGTCACATCTCTCAAAGCCACGTATCTCTTCTTGTTTGAGTCCAGAGGCTGGTAATAACATGATGGATTTAAATCTACTCTGGAGACAATAAAATCCATTTCTAAAATTTTGCAGATGGAGCTCAAACAAAAACTTTGTTGAAAAAAGACAAGTAATTACTATTATCATTGTTAATATTATTATCTTCCTCTATGATAACATAATTTCCCTTTTCTGGAAATGCTAAATGTTTCCAAACTGTTTGAAGGTAAAATGAGTCTCGTCGTCTTCAGACCTCTTTTAAAAATTATGCTTTCTG